TGATTAGAGATAAAGAAACTATCAAAATTAATCATGCATATTTGAAAAGTAGAACTTTTATAAGTGAAGAATAAAATAATTTAAATTTGAAATTTAAAGGACAAATTAAACATCAGAATACTTACATGGATGTAGGGAGAGTGTTGAACTGAAAGACAAATCAGAAGAAATTACATAGAATCTAGCATAGAGAGACAGAAACGGAAAATATTAAAAGGAGATCAAGATATAAGATGATAGCATGAGAATGTCTGTCATTTATCTAATCAGAGCTCCCTGAAGACAGAATAGAGAGAATGGGAAGAATTAATGACTGAACAATTTCCAAAATTAATGACAAAAAAGTGTCTTCAGATTCAGAACACCCAATGAAGTCAAAGAAGGTAAACAAAAAGAAACTCAAGCCTCAAGATATCAAAGTAAAATAGCAGAACACCAAAGGCAAAGAGAAAACAAGGGAAATATCCAGATATAAAAGAAAAGTTACCTGCCAAGGACCTGCAATCAAATTAAGAGTTGACTTCTTAACAGCATCACTAAAAGCTAACCTACATTGGAATAAGTTCTTTAAAGTGCTGAGAGAAAATATTTTCAATCTATTATTATATACCAAGGATACTGTCTTTCACAAATAAGGATTAAATAAAGGTATTTTTAGAAAAACAAAAACTGAGAGAGTTGACCTTCAACAGAACCTCATTAAAGAACTTCAAAAGAAGATACTTTGGGAAAAGGAAAATGCCCCTGGAGAGAAGATGTGAAATCCACACAGGAAGCTGTGGATAAATATAAACAAATACTGACTGTATTAAAACAAAACTAAAAAAGTAAATCCTGAACAACAAAAGCATATAAAATCAGAGTTAAAATATTTTAAGTTCTTACGTTATGCAGAAGGATAAAGATAGTAATTTTTTACTTTAATATGGATAATTAAGTCTATGGGTAATCCCTAAACATAGAAATAAACTCTATAACTTCCAAACTAATAAAGGGGAAGAAATAAGGAGTAAAAGTCATTTAATCAAAAAGAAGGCAAAATTTTACAGAGAAGCAAAGAAATTTTGAAAAAGTGGAACAAATAGAAAGCAAAAAATAAACTTTAAGGTTAAAGGCATTTCTAAATGAAAGATATTCATAACATATTGTTAAAAGGTGTCAGGAAATAGCAGGAAACTAGTAATATAGTTTCAATATAAAGCAAAAATTTTTAGTAATCAAGCACACACAAAAACCATAAGACTTTAGTTGATTTACAACCACACAATTAATAAGATTCAATGAACTTAAAATGTTAATTCAACATCTAAAAAATTATATTCAAGCACACATATAATACTTTTGAAAACTGACTATGTATAAAGCCAGTTAACAAATCTTAAAGTAGCATTCAAATCACATTCTCTGACTTCACATAATTGAGTTAGGATTTGTTTTAAAAATGTATTTTATTGTAAACATAGAGTTAGATATTATTTTTTTAACCCAACATGATAATATTCATCTTTAACTAAGCAACTTTAATTATCAAATCAAATAGAGACTGAGCCAAAGAAGCAAGAGAAAGCTGAGACTCGGAAGGGCAGCATAGAGTGACCATATGACTCAGCAATCTCTCTTCTGGGTATATACCTAAGAGAAGTGAAAGCAGGGACTCAGATATTTGTGCATCCGTGTTCATAGTAGCATTATTCAGAATAGCCAAAAGGTCAAAGCATCAGAAGTTACTTCTATGGATGAATGCATAAACAAGATGTGGCGTATACATACAATGGAATATCAAGCAGTCTTAAAAAGAAAGGAAATTGGCACATGCTACAAAATGGATGAACCTTGAAGATATCATGTTAAGTGAAATAAGCCAGTCACAAAAGGACAAATATTGTACGATTCCACTTATATGAGGGATCTAGTATAGTCAAATTCATAGAGACAGAAATAGAATGGTGGTGGACCAAGGCTGGGTGAAGGGGAGCGTGAGGGGCTAGTGTTTAATGGGTAAAGAGTATCAGTTTGGGAAGATAAAGTTCCGGATATGGATGGTGGTGATGGTTGCAAAACAATGTGAATGTACTTAATGCCAGAGAACTGTAAACTTAAAATAGGTTAAAATGACATATTTCATGTTATGTATATTTTACCACAAGTAAAAAAAAAAACCTTCTGTGCCAACACCCCAGGAATAGTTTGCCACTGTTCCTGGCTTGTTGATAGAATAATCAATCTTAATACTTTGAGAGGAATCAACTCTGTTATCCCTTTCTAAAACTGCTCTAACCACAGCATAGATATATATAAAAGACTATTATCTACAAATGTCTCACGTTTATGTAGCACTTTATATTTGAAGAAAGGCTTTTATGTGTCCTAACCCATTTAATCCTCACAACAGCCTTATAAGGTAAGTTGTAATACTCCCTTTTAATTCATGGAAGAAAGCAAAGTCTGAGAGATTAAATTGTCTAAGACCACGGAGCTATTAAGAATGCAAGGGTCCAAAATTCTACTGACTAAAGCCATTGATCTCCCAACATACGGAAATAGTTGTCAACTTACTATGAACTTTACATTTAAAATGCCAAAAGCAAAGCGCAATGCTTGTTAAACTGAATAAAGAAAAGAAAAAGATAACATCATTACCTTCTCAGTAACCAAGGAGTAATGATTATACTGAATTTGCGCTCTGAATCCTATTAACATATTTGTGGCTTTTTATAATGCTCTATTTGCAAACCTTGGTCATATTTAAACTCTGGTTGGGTGTTTATATTTTTAAACATTTGCTTCTAAAAATACCCTTTAATTTGAGGGGGGGGGGGGGAGGGCAGGGGAGAGGAGGTTTCCCTTAAAACGTACTGTTTTAGATTGTGGCTCTTCAAATTTTAATCTCAGTTCTCAAAAACCTGTGTCTGATTCCACTAAAAACAAGGAGCCAGGTTGTTCTCTCATTGCTATGCAAGGACTGTTTCATTTGGGGTCTTAAATCTCCTTTTTTATTGCTCTCCTTGGAGTGCAAGGCTAATTTAAATGAGAGAACCCTTGCAACAATGCACCATCATCCCCTTCGAAATTTTACCAGCTCCCCCTAGAACAAATGGCTGGGTGAGTGTAACCTCTTGATTTTCAGCACGCAGCAAGCATTCATTTTCCTCTGAAACCTGCCATAGAAAGTCACCTCAGAACCCCAACTCTCCTGCTGCAGAATGCTGACCCAATAGCTTTCACTGTCTCTGGGAAGATGTGGTACCTGGTGGAAGAGTGGTGGCATTGACACTCCCTTGCTGTGAATAGGCCTCCCTGAATTTATCACTGATAACAAAGACCTCCCTGTGGCAATATGCAATAGGTTCCACTGTAGTGGGATTGGGTGAAAGAATGTGAGACATTGCACTCCTTGGTCCTTCCCTCTGTGTGGTACCTGTACAGCCTACGCTGATAGGTTAAACCCTGACCATTCAAGGAGATGCTCCCTTAATTTCCTTTTCAAGTCGGCCCAGCTACTGTGAGGGAAACAGTGGACAATCCCCTCACCTTTGCACTCACTGCCCACATTCTGAAGCCCAATCTTCTCCAGACATGTAAAAATGTTTGCAGGCACTCACTTTATTTTAAAATGCTTACAGCATTTTGGGATGCTCTTCCCTCTTTTGGGGTAAAATTGATAATCCAGGATTCCCCGAGCAGAGAGCAATGGAAAAATGACGTACTCTCACAAAAAAATAACTCGACACCTATCACTTGGGCAACACCATGGGACCTTTCCCCTTGTGTGTATCTGATTCATTGTTTCTATTCCCATAGCTTACATTTATGAAGCACCTACTCTGTGCCAGAAGGTGCTGAGCACATCACATGCCTTATATATTTAATCCACACCATACACCTAACATTCTGATTTTATATAAAACAATACAAAACCCTAAAGTGTAAAGAGGTTAAGTGGGCACATAACAATAAGTGACTTACGTTGCTCAACTTTCTTTCTGTTTAAAATTGTAGAAACCTACCTTACATAGATCATTGTCTTAACAATCCTAAACTAAAGAATTTTCAGAATCAGGCTTGACAACTCCTGTCATTACCTTAAAAGCTTTAATATTCTCTTCTCTCAGCAGGGGGGAGCACCAACTACACATTATCATTTCATGCATTTCAGATCTATTATTGTTTCCCATCAACTTCTCCTGGGCTTGATTTAAACAAATAAAAATAGCAGGCAGACTCTTGCTAACATTCCTTCCAAGTCTGTATTTTCTAAATGCCTCGGTCACTTTGCTTTCAACTTCGAACTTTATTTGATTTTCCTATATTCTACTAAAGAGAGAAAGATACGAAGCAGACACTCATTATTTGTAATTGTGAAATATAGAAAAAAAAATGCAATGGCAAACAGAAGTGGAAAGTAGCTCCATGTTATAAATGAGGCAGACTTTTGTTTTTAATGCTACTTAAAAGATAAAGGAGAATATTATAAGGTCAAGTCTGTTTTTAGAGAAAAGCCTGATTTTTTTTTTAAAGTGGTAACGATATTTTCCTCTAGCATTTAATAATGTCAACAAAACACTTTGAAATCCATTTATCAAAAAACGAATAAGTATTTTTTGAACATCTACTTTGTTCTTAGAATTTAAGGAGAACATAGATAAGAAATGGTGCCTGCACCAAAGAGTTTATAATTTAGTGGATGAGAAAAGATGAACATACCAATCATTTTAATTATACCCAGAGAAGTATATATTAGGTGCCCTTCCTTCCCATTCTTTAGCAAGACCTAAAATGTATTTTCTAAAGTACATCATGAATTTTTTCTTTTCTTCAGAGAAAATTGATTTTGGATTTCAGAAAGAGCCTAGTTTTATGCTCTAAAGAGTAGAATGTGTTGCCCCTCCATTTATTGTCTGATTATTGTGATCAATTCTTAAATCTGAGAGATTGAAAGGCTGAGAGACTCTTCCATGTTACCCACCCTAAGATGTACCTTTATGTTCCTCTTACACTAGTGTCATCAGAAATCGGGCCTTCCCTTGTGATTCAGACCACTGTCCCCTTTGGAGTTACACACTTGGAACACGGCATCGAGGAGGTGCAAGAGTTAATCTTCCAGCAGCTGGAAAACATTTTGCCAGGTTTGCCTCAGCCAGTTGCTACCAAATGCCAGAAATGGAGACATTCACAGGTAATCACGGAACCCAGTAGTATGAGTACAATTTTCTTAACAGCTCAGCAGAACTGACTTGGCTTTTTCTGATCCTTTTGCCTAATGTGTAAGCATAAACGTCTACAGGTTTTATGATCCTGTTATTTCTCAATAAGAAATGCATACAATTTTCCCCAATCTAATGTGCAAATTTTAGCATCTCCAGACATATACCCTGAAAAGCTTGGCTTTCCTATGCAAGCAAGGCAAGTTACATATCCAAATGCAGCTGTTTCCCTGGGGTTTTTCTAAATCAGTACTGTGGTTATATAGAAACCACTGTAACCTCCCAAATTTTTGCAATACGTCAAATTAACCTCATTAAGTGTATTTTGCTACCACAGTTTTCATTTTTATTAAGTTCCCACTTTGGTTTTGACTGCTGCCAGCAGAGCTCTTTGCGGGAGAAAGATGAATGCCTGCATAGATCAGCCAGTTAGGCTGGTTTTCAGGGTTAGATAAACCTGCTGATCTCAGGACTAGTTCAAACTTAAAGCTCTGTAACACTAAGTAAATGTTGACTTTTCTGAAAGTTGCTGCATATTTCAGTAGAAGTTTGTGAGTATTCCTAGAAAAAGCCTTTTGATCTGTAAACTCTGTTGCGAAGTTATTTAGGGACAGTGGAGCAAAGGGCAGGAAGGGGAAAGACACAGTGAGTTGTCTATTTTTTTTTTCTAAGATTTCTGAGCCCATGGATGAACTGATTTATCAGCACTGTTGGTCATCTCAGCTGTAAGCCTTCAGAAAGAGTGGTGTTGTGAGATATCGCAGCAGATTTTGTATATGTTAAAGGGTTTCCCAAAATGAAAGGAAAGGGGAGATTGTAAATGACTTCCTAAAATTGCTACAGGAATATGTGTTTACCCACATTCTCGAGTTAAATTATACAGGGAACCTAATACACAGCTAGATATAGTACACAGCAAGTCACTTTGCAATTTATAAACATCCTTTAAAGAAACAATGGTTTATGAGTTTCTTCCTGTGACTTCCTTTAAATAATTTATTAATAAGCCAAAAATATGGGTTAAAGTCTACTCATTTCTTAAAATTTAAAATGTTGTAGAAATAGATTGGACCTTACCACAAAATGGCCTATTCAAAGTTGTGCAATATCACAAAACGTAATAAAAAATTTTTTTGAACACGAAGTACATCCAAACCCTAGAAATGCTTTTTATTACAATTTGGATGTTCTCTCTTGAAATTATTCCAGTACATTTACGGCTCTGTAGTCATTAAATCTACATTGCTGCAAAGCCTGAAAGGGAATAAGTTGTCATTCAACCTTAGAAGTTTGCATTTTCCACCATTCATATACTTCCCTAGTACCTTGAGCAGCATTCTACAGAACATAGCATTGTCATTGATAGCAGAGATCTTACCTGCATTGTGAGATGATAGCTAGATAGGTGATAGCTAGCTAGCTAGCTAGCTAGCTAGCTAGATAGATAGATAGATAGAATCTCTACATCATCTTAGAAAAAGAAATGACAGGTTCCGAGACGTAATAGCATTTAACTAGTTAGTTTTCAATTATTACTTCCAAGAGAACATTTCTTCAATGCTTTTAAAAGGTCCATCTTAGCCTTTGAACTGTGACATAAATGTGTGCACCCCTCCTCCCTTGCCATCCAGAACACATGATCTACCTTTGATAATTCATCAATGTTTGTGTATGGATATGGTCTAATATAGTGCTTAAGCTGAAGGGAAGGATGGTGTAGAAATAAAGACACACAAAAAAAGAGAGAGGAACAAACAACTGATTTTGACCTTTTTCCTATTTCTAATTAATGGTACCGTCCCCTTGTAGGGGAAATTCCACCCATATTTTTTCCAGCCTGTGTTCCCTCTTTTTTCTCCACCCCCTCTCCTGCTCTACCCAAATCTTCCCCTATTTTTCACACTCTTCCCCTTCTTTTCTTCTCTCTCTCTCTCTCTCTCTGACTTTTAAACCCTCATTTTATGAAATCCTAGACAGAGCACAGAACTACTGTCCCATACTTCAAGCAGTGGTGGTATACCCCTCGTTTCTACACCCCTCAGACTTAACTTTTTACCTACATTCATTTTTGTTTTCTCTTTTTTTGTGTGATCCCTACTCTGCTGGGTTGGTTGGGAGAAGAAGAGAAAGGGAGGTTGCAGTGATGAGCACCCACAGTGTGGCAGACCTGGAGCTGGGCAATTCTAAGATGTGTTCTCACTTAGAATATCAAAGTAGCCCAAGAGGTTGCTAGTTTTAACCACTACACCACTGAGAAAAACAAAGCCTTGGAGGACGAACAAAATTCCCGTAGGCCCATTGGCTAGTAATGACAAAACCCACCCATCCATTTGTCTCTCGAGTCCTTCACTTTTTTTCTCTGACTCTGTGTTTCCTCTTCACAGACCCCATTTCCTATCACCACAAATTCCATAGCTTAAAACAACATAAATGTATTATCTTACAGTTCTGGAGTTCAGAAGTTCAAGGTGGGTCTCACTAAAATCAAGGTGTTGGCAGGGCTGTGCTTCTTCTGGTGCAGCTTCTAGGAGAGAATCCATGTTCTTGCCTCTTACATTTTCTAGCAGCTGCCCACACTCCTTGGCTGGAGGCCCCTTCCGCCATCTTCAGAGCCAGCAAAGTGGGTAAAGTCCTTTTCACTCTGACCTGTTCTTCTGCCTCACACATTCTTTAAGGACCCTTGTGATTACATTGGGCTCACCTGGATAATCGAGGCTACTTTCCCACATTGGGCTCACCTGGATAATCTAGGCTACTTTCCCCATTACCCTTTATGAGAAGAGCATCAGTCCTTTAAGGCTCAAGGCACTCAAAGTAAGTGAGTGCTGTCTGAAAAAGACAAGGGAGTGTTGTGTGGGGCAGGGGAGGCAATTTCTTGTTTTCCCATGTTGTTCTCCCAGGGTTGCCTCTAAAATCACACACCACATTGGCAGCAGGAAGGTGAAAGATTTTTATTCTTTACTCATTTATTAAATAAGCATGTAATGAATGCCTGAGACATGGCTAGTACTCTGCTCATAGAACCCTAGAGGGTTGCTGAAGGCCTCTCCTAAAACACTAAATGAAATGTTTTTGTCTTGAGTAAGATAACGGTGCATTCTTGTGGGTGCTGCTCATCAAGGAGGAAAAAGGCAGATGAGGAAAGAAGGCGTGTTGGAAAGACTTGGGAGCTGCTCTGTGCCTCCCATTTGGGGTTTGAATAAAACACTTGCGTAGGTGGTGCAAACAAACTTAGCAAAGCGATGGCAGATCTTCCGTGGTTCTCGGTTCCTCCCTTTTACAGCTATTTGCCCTCCATAATTTAAATGTTTATCCAGTTAATATAGCTCGATACCTGGGCTGTGAAACATTGAATTAGGGTTTCTGTAACTAGTATGCTATATTCATTCTTTCAGCGGAAGAGTAATAACTGAAGACGCCTTTCCATGTACCTTGATGGGGACATGTCATCAGTTTGATAATCTTAATATTCTCACCACTACTACTTGCTGTGCTCTCCTCTGTTTCAGGTTCTATCATGATGCTCTCTCAAACTATAAGATATGTCTGATTTGCTTGAAATTTTAATTTTCCCCATCAGTGGCCATTTTCTTCACTTTATGTGCACACAAATGGATTATTTTTTTGTTATTACCAAATGTATTTTTAAATAATAAGGAGAGCCCTAGCTGGTTTTGCTCAGTGGATAGAGTGTCAGCCTGTGGACTGAAGGGTCCCAGGTTCGATTCCGGCCAAGGGCACATGCCCAGGTTGTGGGCTCCATCCCCTCCCCCCAGTAGGGGGCATGCAGGAGGCAGCCAATCGACGATTCTCTCTCATTAGTATTTCTATTTCTCTATCCCTCTCCCTTCCTCTCTGAAATCAATAAAAACATATTTTTTAAAAAGGAAATTCTGAGGTAACTATATGCTTAGGAGAAACTAATAAACAAAGGTTTAAAAAAACACTAAGGAGAACAGGAGCGGAATTTAGGGAGATAAGAAAGAGGAGAGGGAGGTAGCAAATGAATATATTGGTAACTTTGGCCAACTAAATAGATTTGGACTAGCATATTAAGCTTTTCTGATAGAATTAGAACTCAGTTATCTTCTATAGTTACATTTCCTCATTTGGTCTTTTGCCCTGAGCCTGTACTTTCTCCCCAATGGTAGTCTTTTCATATTTTTTTTAAGAAGAAGAATCATGAACTCTTTATGAATCTGATAAAACCTATAAACATGAAAATTGTCATTATTTCAAAATATGCAAGTACATATAAACACAACATTACATATAATTATGAGGCGTTATAAGCAACCTAAAGTCCTCCCATAAACACAGCATCAATGACACCTGCTGTGAAAGTCTTATTACTATCACCTCAATAAATCAAGGGCTTATTATGTCCGTCTTGGGTTGCAAAGAAACACAATTCACCAAACAAAAGGAATGTAAAGTAATTCAAATTTCTACTAGTATGTTTTATAGAACTTTAAAGAACATTAGAAATATTTCATCCTCAGGAGTAAGTGTTAAGTCTCTGTTCTCATTCACTGTATATCCCCCTCTGGAAGCTCCCTCAAATTTATTTGCACCCATATGATTTAATTCCCCACACAGTTTACTCTGACAATCAGCCATGTGGCTCATCTCTTTTTCTGTCTTTTCTCTCTTCAGCCTCCCATTCACATGCTCCACTTTTGACTCTATCCTTTTTATTTCCTCCTTAGACAAGTAAAAATTTGCCTTTTTCAAAGCAAATTCCCTTTTTTACTTCCTCAGATCTTCCTCACCTGAATACCTCAGTTGGCATAGAACTACCCAGGAATTAGGAAGAATAAAAGAGAAAGGAAGAAATATGCACCCAGAATTTTCCTTAGAGATTTGTGTGTGGTAGGGAAGAAGGAAATATACAGAGAAAAGCCTAAGACACCCATATACTTACATTATTCCCTTATGAGATTAATTTCTGGTGGGTAATTATGTCTAATTT